GGTTAATCATTTGAGAATCTGATCATTTGTAGAACTATGAGATCCAAGCATGAATAATGGGAGAGTGAATTACGATGTCTAGGTTTAATGTTTGAAACATAAAAGAGTACTCATGTCTCGTATTAATAGTATGAATTATCATGTTTGAGTTTGGTGTTTGAAATAGAAACCATATCGACTGATTTAGGTTTAGTAAGTAATCATAATATGAATTACCATGTATATATAGATTCAACATGTGTAGTTGTGAATGGATCTCTAAGGGGCTGTTTGGTAAGAGCTTAATGGACTCCACAGAGATTATGGCTTATTCGGTAAGCTATATAAAGTTGTTCGAAAATGGCTTAATGGCTAAAAACATGACTTTTTCGGTCAGCTGTAAAAGTTGAGTCATATAGACTCAGCCCATTTATTACCCTTTTACCCTTTCTTTCCTTCAGTCCTCCCTTCCTCTCCATCCCACCCCCCTTTCTCATTTCCATCTCTTTTTTCTCCAGACCTGCTTGCTTCCTCAATCTAAATAAAAATGGCACTACACAAAGATTTGTTTAGTCCTCCCTCCATCAATCTGCTTCCTCTTGTTAGATCAACCAATATGTTTATTGTTTTAAACAAATGGGTTGCATCCAAGATCAACGACTGCTCCCTCTTTGATCTACTCATCTTCAACAACTGGTTTTTTTTCTTGTTTGTGCCTTGATCGATAGTTGTTCTCATTTCGTTTTAGGGTTCTACATGTACTATTTTCTTCTTCAAACAAATGGGTTTTTATTCAATCTAAACTTTTTTTCTGGTTGATGAAATTGATTTGTGATTTGTGGTTCTTGATCATTTGTGGTGTTTTTTTTTAAATTAGGGTTCATAGATTTGGGTTTGTTAATTTAGGGTTCATAGATTTGTATTTTGACTACTAATTTCATTCATGAGTTTGGTGTTTCTGCTCTTTTAAATTCTAAAATCAATGGGGAAGAAGAGAAACAAAAAGGATGATTTCTCCTAATGGGTTTGATGTTGTTATTAGTGATTTAATTCAAAGATTTAAAGGTAAACCGAGGGTTAAGATGACCAATAAAGACTAGGGGTAAAATGGTTATTTCTGACATTCAGACTGTTTATTCAGCACAACAACCGAACGATAACTTATCTGTTAATATACAGACAACTATAACCATACAGATCTTAACTGAAAACGAACCGAACAGCCTCTAAATCTGTTTGAGCAAAATAAAGAATAAAAATCTTTATTTCTTCTATTTTAGAGAAGCTATTGGAGATGATCTAAGTACAAAGAGGTACTCTAATTTCGATACTGAAGTTTTGATCAATTGATTAGGGCTCTTAACGAGTGGTGAGCTGGTCATGACATCCAACGATGGAAACGTCGACGCTTCATCAACCAGACCACTGAAACCTTCTGATTCGAAAACCAAAACCGATGATGTTTTCGACTTGTATATGGTTGCCATCACTTGTCTTATCTACATGGTTGTTGCCATGGTATCCTTTTATTTCGTCATACACCAATTCTATGGAAAGAAAACAAACAGCGTCCTTGATGCTTATTATTTCACCATTGTCTTAATGACTTCTAGTGGATATAAAGACCTTACTCCTCGTAGCGATCTCGCAATACTACTCGCCATTTTCTTCACGATCATGGGTATAGTTCTTTTTGGGGCACTGATGAGTCTAGGTGCGGACCTCTTCTTAGTCACGCAACTGGAAAAAAAAGAGTTACTTGATTCTGTGAAAAAACATGAAACAGTGCAGTATCCAAGCGCAATGAAAAAAAGGTGGAAAGTGTTAGCAGCCATGGTTGCGGTCCATATATTTGTTGGGACGCCTCTCTTGGCATTCATCGGGAATATGGACCTTTTTCGCGCCTTATACTGTGTCTCTTCAACGATTACAACCGTGTTAAGTACCAATAAATGCTTCTCAACGAAAGCGAGACGCATCATTGCACTAATCTGGATATTATATGGAATGATTACTTTAAGTTGTGTGCTCTATACTTTCTCGGAGGCATGGACTCAGAGAAGCAAATGGTTGTTCTTAAAAATGAAAACCAAATCTGGATTTCAAGACTTGCAGCCCAGTGATCTTGATGATGATGGCTTTATAAGGTAAAGTACAATTAGCAACCACTAACCATACCACTAATAGGTACATGCCAATATGCCATGCAGGATGTCTTAATTTCATAAAAGTATCTCTAACAGGTATGCTATATTTTCTTGGCAAATTTGGAGATTTCTACGTTCTCTCATAGTTTTCCTTATTTTAGTGAAAAGTTTAACATAACTGTTGGAGCAAACTTGGAGATGCTCTAATGATCTCGCTTGTCTTAATTAGGAATTAACTATGCTTCTTAATGCTTAATTTTCTTTTATGTTAATTGTATCTAGTTTAGTGATTCCACAGACTTGAAGAATATGTACTTCATAAGCTAAAAGAGAATAAAAGGTCCCGCGGAGATGACACAGAAACGACGATCAAAGAAGTTAGAATATTCATCAAGAACCATCCGGGTATGTTGATGAGACGTGATATTATATACGTCTTAAATAACATTTTGTTTCGTTTGATTATTCATAATGACTGTGATTTTTGTGATATATATCGGCGTTACAGATCATGTAATCAATTTTAACCGGACATCTAGTCTAATGAATATTTGTTTTCATGAATATCTTGAGTGTTTTCTAATCTAAAACAATGATCATAATTAATGAAATGAACTTTATCATTTTTCATAAATATCTCAATCATAAAGAATGAACCATGATCATATTCCATAAATATTTCGATTGTATCCTCATATATAAGGTTTCGATTTTATCCTTTGTATAGTCTATAACAATTGCATATTTTGTATTAGAATCTCTCTCTATATATATATATGTGTGTGTGTGTGTGTGTAGGGGCAGGTTCAAACGAAAAGCTAAATATTTTGCGAGAAGCCGAGAAGTTTCAATAACATATATGATCACACGTATGATACAGAAGCTTAATTATATATGATTAAAAACGTGTTGCGTAGACAACACATAGACGTTTAATCTTATATGACCAGGCACATCCAAATAAGTATAATCATTTATGATATTGAAATTTTTCGTCTTCTTGCAAAATGTATAACTTCTCGCATGATTCTTCCTTCCTCTGTATATATAGGACGTTTTAAATACAACATATCTTATTTAAACAATAAAAAAATTATACATTATCTCTCCTTATTAATCTCCATTATCCACCAATAGATCCTCTAAACAAGGAAACGGTTTACACAGTATCTCTCTTAATTAATCTTCACCAATCCATGAAAAATACATAATGAAATAATGAAACCAGAACAAAATTCAATTTCATTCATGTTTTGTTGTTGAAATGATGAAACATTGGTTTCATGTTTCATTGTTGAAATAATGGTTTCATGTTTCCTTTTTCATTGTTGAAATATTGAAAATAATTAAATAGGATAAGAATGATTAAAAAAATCTATAAATAAACGGTTACATTAATGAAAATCCCAAAACACTAGGGAATTGTTAATTACCATAATTAACCGTTAAACATCAAAATGACGAATTAGCCCTTAAAATAAAAATAAATTGAAAAAATGGAAAATTCTGATTGACTGATTTAAGTTTGTAAAGTTTGTATAAATGAGAAAGTTTGTAAATGTTCTCTCCGCTATATATTTATCTATATATATAGGGTTTATTTCAAATACAACCTATCGCATTTGTACAACCAATGCAACCTAATAAATTGAAATATTTATGGAAATGATTAGAGTTCATTTATTATGATTTAAATATTTATGGAAGATGAATACGGTTCATTAATTATGATTAATACTTTATATTAGGAAATAATCAAAACCTCTATAAAATCACATATTCATCAAATGAAATGGACGATTGAGATTGGGTTGTATTGATTGCACAAATGTCAATGGTTGTATAATAATCAACCTATATATATATATATATATATATATATATATAGAGAGAGAGAGAGGGGGGGAGGAGGTTTACTTTGCAAACCACGTTATTTGTACAAACCTCATTCAACCAATCATAATTTTTTATTTTCTTCATTTTTTTGTAATTTTGATAGGTTGATTAATCATTTTTATTGTGGAGGGTGTTAATCATGGATATTATCATCTTCATTATTTAATTTTAGAGAAATACATGAAACAGTTTCATTAAAATTTTCATTAAGTATTATATGAAACAATTTCATAACCATATATGAAACAACTTCATCCAAAAAAATTATTATATAAAATAATTTCTCAAGATTAAACAATTACATGAAAAAATTTCATAAGATTAAATAATGAAATCGACGGACGAGGGTGGTTTGCACGGTTTGCATTTGATCGTTCATCTCTCTCTCTCTCTCTCTCTCTCTCTATATATATATATATATATAGAGAGAGAGAGAGAGGTCTATTCAAAAGAAAACTGATTAGTTTGTGGTAACTGTGAGATCCTATCTCAACCACAAATCAACGGATAAATTAAGAAATTAATAACTATGGTAGTTTGAGTTAAAATTATAATTAAAGGGCATTTTAAATATTTTTAAAAAAACTCCTCTCTCCTCTCTCATCTCTCTGATATCCAATCTCCGGCTTCCGGTGAACATTAATCCAGCAGGTACCAAGTAATCATCAAGATATATATATATATATATATATATATATATATATATGTGTGTGTGTGTGTGTGTGTGTGTGTGTGTGTGTAAGAACGAGAGTTAAGGTGAGAAGCGTAAAAAGGGATCTGGACTTTTGATCATCTTTAATTTCAAATTCACTCACAAATCGCACTTGATATATACATTGATTGATCCGGTACATCTCATCCTAATGTGCATCCAATGGTGGAGATCACTTCTTACGTTTCTCATCTTAACTTCTCTTCTCACTTGAACCAAATCCCTAGATATATATATATATATATATATGTGTGTGTGTGTGTGTGTGTGTGTGCGCGCGCATGTGTATAGAGAGAGACGGGTTCATACGAGAATGATACATATTTGAGAAAATAAGTAAATGGATGAATCATATGTAATTTTACACTAGCGTCACGTACAAAATCACATGTATCTCATGCGACCTTGCCACGCACTCGTAGGGTCGCCAGCACATTTGTTTTGCCTTTAGTGTAAAATCACATATGATCTTGTAGGTAATTTGATCATTCTCAAGTGGTTTATTTTATTCCATTTATATATTGAAGTTTGCTTTGAATTGTTTCTAACCCGGACTCAAAAACGTTGACACAGAACTACTTGGCAAAGAACATTCTAAAGGTAGAAACCAAGATTCATCAACCACACCTCCACGAAAGCCTTCTATCAAAGATCATATACTGGAGCCCGAGAACCTAGATGATATACGGAAGATAATCATCTCCTTTGTTATCTACTTGGTTTCGAGTGCGGTGATCTTTTATGTCGTCAGATGCCACATTTCTGGAAAGAAAACAAACAGCATCCTCGATACTGTTTATTTCTCGTTTGTTATAATGACTTCTGTTGGGTATGAAGACCTTTCTCCTGACGATCACCCTCTTGCACTAATCTTTGCCTCTCTCTTCTCCCTCCTGGGTTTGTTTGTTATCGGGCTGGTGCTAAGTATGGCTTTAGAAGTTTTAGACAAGCAACGAGAAGATCAAAAGCGTAGAATTAGATCAGGTAAGGATGACACAACTGCTACTGCAAAGGAACCCAAGAAAGAGATTAAGAAGTGCATAATAATAGTGGTCTTGTTTCTGATCCATATGTCTGTTGGGATGGCTGTCTTGGTTTTCATCGAGGATTTGGACTTTATTCATGCCTTGTATTGTATCAGTATAACAATCACAAGTGCAGGTACCGAAAAATGCTTCTCAACAAAACGCGGAAGGGTCTTTGCACTAGTCTTGATGTTACTTGGTACTGTGTATAAAGGTTATGTGCTCTTTACTTTTACCAAGGTGTACACCCAAATAAAACTACGATCAAGAGAAGTGAAGAAAAACATAACACCTCAAGAACCTGAGGATTCTCCACCAGTGAAGATTGATTATGATTATGATTATGATGCTGGAATACTACGTGCTGAACCAGTACAGTTGTCTGATAATGAAGTTGATCATGATGTTGAAATGGCAGCATGGTAAGAACAAGTAACCATGTAATATAGTTAGTTGTTAACCACTAGTATTATCATATTATAAGGGCCGTTTACCAAACACTTATCCAATAAGCGCTTACCGGTAAAATTTAACACTACCATTTACTTATCGTGTAAGACTTTAATTCACCAAAAAGGCACTGTATGCAACAATTTACAGAGTAAGCACTTACCATGGTAAGAGTAGTCGTTGACCTCATTTATCGGGTAAGACTCTCGGTCCTTGTCTCCCTCTTACCGGGTAAGATTATTGGTTTTTACCATATTCATCCGGTAAGGTAATGTGAGCGTTTGGTAAACAACACCTAATAGGGTATTGAGATCCATTAAGGGGGTCTTATATGTCTACTTTGCCTCTCAAACTATCGTCCAAATTTCTTATGTTAATTGTCAACTTTTGATGATTCCACAGTCCTCAGTCTCAGAGTCCAATAGAGGAGGGAATCCCCAGCCAATCAGAAGTCGATATGGCAGATATCATGAAAGAGTTTCGAAGACTTGATGTCAATGGCACTGGTAGGTTGACGTTACACGAAGTAATGACGTCGTAACAATAGTCTTGGTATAATCTGCAACACTGATGCAGCTCGATATGAAACCATGTTCCCATTCAGCCGTTTATGTAATTTGATTAAGCTCCGTAAACAAAATATGTTTTGGTAGATTCATTCATTTTTATGACTTCTGATTTTGTCAATACATGTTTATTTATGCTTCATAAGAGATTATGTTAAACTTAAAACACTTAATAAATAAGATTGTTTGGTTTTGTTACTGATATTTGTCTGAATGGATTTACGATTTTCGATACCAACTTTGTAACACATCATCTCATATTTTTGCATAAAACTTACATATTCCATATATGCCATGAAATACAAGTATTACACCCCGGTTCCAAAGATACTCATCGTTACTTGTAAAAATTTACCACAAACTTTGTCAAATAAAATTACATGACTTGAATATACAAATTCACAGCTCATGTATTTCACAGCTTCCATAAAATTTATGTTCATCACATAAACAATATATATATATATATATGTGTGTGTGTGTGTGTGTGTATGTGTGTGTGTGTATATAAGGGTGGGTTCAAGCGATAATCTAAACATTTTGCGAGAAGCCGAGAATTTTCAATATCATATATGTATATTACACGCATGATACAGAAGCTTAGTTACATATGATTAAAAGCGTGTTGCATTGACAACACATAGACGTTTAATTTTATATGATTAAACACATCCAAAAAAGTATAATCATATATGATATTGAAACTTTTCGTCTTCTTGCAAAATGTGTAACTTCTCGCATGATTCTTCCTTCCTCTCTCCCCCTTTCTCTCTATATATAGGATGTTTCATATACAACATATCCTATTTAAACAACAAAAAATTTACACATTATCCACCAATAGATCCTCTAAACAAGGTTCGTTTACAGACCTAAGTAGTCATATGCATCACAGTTATGGTTATCACCCACAAACTTGAGAAATTCCGTTCACTTACACATACCAAACATCAACAAACTTAACCATTTGCAGTTGCGCCGAACGCAAGCAGTATCGCTCTCCCTCACCACTCCTAGTTGCTCCAACGTTGTCCGTTGTTCAAATCGCCTGACATGTTTTTGGTCTCTGCCATTGATCTCCATCTTTTTGATCTATTTGTTATCTATCAAAAGAGGAGAATCAAAAATCAGTTACAAGTGGCTTTTTTTGGTTTAAAAGGTTGAACGTAACTAATTTTTTAAAAGTTTGATGGTTTAATTTATTGGAAAAAAAAATCTTCAGGAACCTAATCATTCAAAATGAGAAAGTTTAATGATTTTTTCATTCAAAAAAATAGTTCAGACACTTAATCATTAAAAACGAGAAAGTTTAAAGGTTCTTTCACTCAAAAAAAATAAGGTCAAATTACATGAAAAATAACGTATTTTAACTTGATTCTTATTTTGAATAACGTACTTTCAGAACTTCCATTTTGGTACCTAAGATGTAAAATTTTAAATATTTAAATACTCAGGTAACTGGTTGAAACACTAACCGCTTATCATGCTGATGTGACGAGTGATGTGGTATCTAACTCAGTATTATTTGCTGGTGTGGTTAGTGACATGGATTCTCTTTAATCTAAAATTAGTCTTTTTTAATCTAAAATTAGTTTTTTTTAATCTAAAATTAGTCTTCAACCGGTTACTCAGGTACTTAAATGTTTAAAACTTTACATCTTATGCACCAAAATGAAAGTTTTGAAAGTGTTACTCAAAATAGAAATCAAATAATTTTATTTTTTCATGTAATTTGTCCAAAAAAATAATTTAAATACTTAATCATTTGATAATGACATTTTATCATAAATTACAAAATTTAGCATATTTGAATATGCAGAATTGCTTTGTACGATCATAAACCACTATATGCATTTATTAGTGTTCTTGATCTTTGCACTCCAATTATTCAACTACCACTGGGAAACTGATTGCAATAATTTGATTATAATATTGCCGAATGTGGAAACATTAATCGTCCTGCCGACGAGATCTCGGAAAATCGTGCTTTCCACCGACATCACAACGGAAATCGGATGGTTGAGATCCAGTAGACCAGAGCTTGTCGGTTGTTTTTCCAATAAAACAACGGTTCCGGCAACTTCCTGCCATTTTCGAAGCACAGTGTAATGGAATTTCCAGTTGGAGTACAAATTACAACTGACTGCAAATAGCAATCATGGATAACTGCTGTTTTAACGAATTCCAGAACGACGACCTTACGATTTACAGAGGTGAGTGTAGTCTTCTTATTGCTCAGATCGATTTGATGTGGTTGATGAAGTATTATACTAGCGCTTGCGTTTTATGTTAATTACTGTTCAGATCTGTAGTTCGAGTGTTTGATTTTAGTTTCTGATGATCCGATCGATCGTACTAAGCAATCAGCTTTCATTCGCAGTTGAACGAGAAAATGTGTAATTTAAGTTTGAAATTTAATAGAAATCAACTGATTCATAGAATTTCGAGCCTAATAAAGTGATTTTAGTAACTGTCTTCGTGCTTGCTCTTTTGCTTAATTGCCTTGCTTGTACCGTTTGATCCATACATTCTACACTTTTGATTCACTTTCCTGTATCTGCATCGGTACTTGGTTACGTTTCAACTGTAATTGCTATTTCGGTTAACTTACCTTCAGAAACGAGATCCCAACTTCTTTTTGGCATTTAACACAATCTCCAAAAGATTTTTAAAATGGAGAAAATTGAAAAATTTAGAGTTTGTAAGAGTACTTGTTGGAGTTCAATATAAATTTTTTTAAAGATTTTAATTTTTGATAATCTATTTTAGAAAAATTACAGCATACCGTTGGAGATGCTTTGTGTTTTATTCCAACCGATATGTTACAAGCTTTTCCAAAATTAAGAAAATATGATGTTTTCTTTTCGACCAAAAGAAAATATGACGTAGAAATATCTGCGTGACATGGACCATTTCTCCTTTGTATGATTACATATGTTGGAAGCGCCCTCTCTTTTCGTAACGGTTTTTTTTGAAGAGTAAATTTGAGGATTAAACGTATTCTCACAGTGTACGCCAAAAATTCCATCAATCATCATTGAAATCATGGCTGATATTAATCTGCAGGGAACTCAATCACGGTGTACTTATGTTCAAGTTGGATATTGAAGCTTTGAATTGTTTCTCGGGGATCTAGAAAAGTTGTACACACCAAGCCACCATGGCATCTAATGGAAACCAAGCTTCACCAACAGAACCACCAAAGCAATCACTTCTAAAAGATCAAATATCTTCCCTCAAGAGAAGGCGATTCCGACGCATTAAGAGTGCCCCTATGTCAAATTCGTTCCCTTCAGAATCTCAAACCTCCGCCTCCCTTCCACGACCTCGGTCTGTTTTCGATTATCTCCACCCAAGTTACAAGAAAGTAGCCATCATCTTGTCCATTTACTTGGGTGCAGGTACGCTTTGCTTTTATCTCGTTAGACACCAGATCGATGGAAAGAAAACCAACCCAGTTCTCGATGCTCTTTATTTCACCGTTGTCACGATGACTTCCGTGGGGTATGGAGACCTTTTTCCTGGTAGTACTCTTACAATACTACTTGCCTGTCTTTTCGTCTTCTTGGGTATGCTTCTTATCGGGCTAGTGCTGAGTAAAGCTGCAGACTATTTAGTCGAAAAACAAGAACTACTGTTGGCAAAAGCATTACACATGAATCAAACGATCGGTACTGCAGAAACGCTAAAACGAATGAAAACCAACCAAGTGAGAAACAAGTGTATATTACTAGTGGTCTTGCTTGTCGTCCTTATGGCTGCTGGAACGGTCGTTTTGCTTTCTGTCGAGGATTTGGACTTCATTCACGCTTTCTATTGTGTGGTTGCAACGATTACAAGTTTGGGTTACATCGATAAATGCTTCTCGACAAGAGGTGGGCGTGTTTTCGCGCTATTTTGGATATTGTCGGGTACCATTTACTTAGCTCAGTTGCTTTTTACTTTTGCTGTGCTACATACTCAAAGAAGACAAAGGTCGTTAGTGAAATGGGCTCTTAAAAGAAAGACAACACCTGCAGACTTGGAGGCAGCTGATCTTGATGATGATGGTGTTGTAGTGTAAGTAAACTTTCAATGTTCGCACATTTCATGGACTATAGTTTTCGAGGCATATATAACCATTAATAGTGGTTATCAGAGATGCACAAGAAAACCCAAGTACGAAACAGGTCATGAAAAAGACGGGCCTAGTCAACCCGAATCCCGACCTCGGCCAGGCGCTAAAGCCCTATCAGGCCGAACTTTTAGGGACAGTCCCGGGCCTAGGCGCTGCCCGAAAAAGCCAGACCTTAACAAACCGAGCTGGAAAAGTCCACTTTTTCAAATCCAAAACCCTGGTTTTTTTTGCTTACTATAAATGGGCTTGGAAGGCCTGGACCCAAGCCCGAAAAAGCTTGGTCTTGTGCATCTAGTGGTTTTGTGTAGAGGTGGCCAAAATTCGGTCCCGGGCCGGGCCTTAACCGGTCCCTACCGGGCCTAATCGCGACAAAAACCGGCAGTAACCGGTCCCGGTCTCGGTGATTTTCCTTGTAACCGGTCAAGGTTATTAGTAACCGGTTGTCCCAACCGGTCCCGGTCCCGGTCCCATAACCGGTCCCGACCGGGCCTATTCAAAAAAAAAAAATGATTTTTTTTAAATTTTTGGTTATTAATAAATTTTTAATATGTTATTAATATGTTTGTAATATGATATTTTGAATATGTTTTATTATAAATACATTTTGTTATATATATATATATATATATACGTTTATAAATACGTTTTGTTATATATATATATACGTTTATAAAAGACGTTTTGTAATATATATATATATATATATATATATACGTTTATAAATACGTTTTGTTGTAAATATGTTTAAAAATACACAATAAAAATACGGTTTATTATATATATATATATACGTTTCGTTGACTTTCGTTGACCGGGCCGGGCTGGGCCTATAACCGGTTACATAACCGGTCCCGGTCTTAACCGGTCCCGGTCCCAAAAAATGTCAAAAACCCTAACCGGATCATAACCGGTGGTCCCTCAACCGGTCCCTACCGGTCCCGGTCGGTCCCGGTCCCTCTCCGGTCCCGGTCCTCCGTCGGTTACGGGCCGGGCCAGGCCCATTTGGCCATCTCTAGTTCTGTGGTTATACAAGGGGTCTCGAGGTCCACTAGTGGCCTAGTGGGTCCTATATGTCATATGGGACCTTATGTTGTAACTTTCATTATTGTGGGCTTCACATATCCTGATATGATATTACAGTCAGGGTCTAACACCACATAGAGACTCGACGCACTCTTTTGCATCCATTATTTGGGGGCACCGTCTACTCATCTGGCCTTCGATTAAAGAAGCGCGCCAGAGAATTATCGGATAGACACATACCATAAAAACTTATATATATGTCGACAAACCACATATCCTAACAATCACTATCCCTTAAGAACAACCATCTTTTCTTTCGTGTGTATATATATGTGTGTGTGTGTGTGTGTGTATTGATTGTATGTAAACACGATGATCCTACAGGGCTGCTGAATTCATCCTTTACAAGCTAAAAGAGATGGGAAAGATCAGCCAAGAAGACATGACGCCGATCATGGAAGAGTTTGAAAGGCTCGACTTTGATAAGACGGGTACATTGTCGGCCTCTGATGTTCTACTTTCACAATCATCATGGTATGCCGCAGACATCCTGCTTACACAAACATCCGTGTAACATTACGTTAGAACGTTTTCTACTCTCATCAATAGTCTCGTTAAAACAGTTTGAAAAAATTGGACTTGTTAACGACATACGGTCTAGTCTGGTCCAGCTAGATGTCGTGGTTGTTATTTGAAAATTTATTACATGTATTTATGACATTTGATTGGGAAATCAGGGTTTCGTCTAGGAATCCATGTCATGGTAACATGTGAATTTTAGAACCATAAGCAGCTTGATGTTTTGTTTCAAAAAATTTAATACTGCAAAACAGGAGGTACTAAAAAGTTAAAAGTACTAGGAGGTTTCAGGTTCAAATTCAATGAGGAATAAAAATCCCCTTGTGGCCATGGAGGTTTAAATGCGGTGACTTCGGGCTATCTGCAAAACAGATGGTCGTCCTGGGATTAGTCGGTTCGCATAGCGGGTTAGATATCCAGGTTAATCAAAAAAAAAAAATTAATACTGCTATTACTTCACTATGACAATTTTGTGATGTTGATTTAACCTGAACCGTTTAATCTAAACTTTATTCAGTACTGATGTGTTATTTTTTTTCAGGCTTATTTCGACGCCCCTATAACAGGAACGGTCAAAATTACCAATATTCTCAATCAATTTCACTTTTTAGCCACTTTTACAATCGAATTCTCATTTTATCTGGATCTTACGCAATTAAAAAAAAATTTGTAAAAATTCAAAATTTTGCATAAGAATTTTTTCTTTTCTTCCAGAAGAATTTATTTTATTTTATTTTATTTTATTTTATTTTATTTTATTTTATTTTATTTTATTTTTATTCCCTTCTTCTTTTTCATACTTTCCCTTCTTTCCTCCAACTTTTTGGGTTCTTTTCAATACTATAACTCTTCAACAATTAGTGATATTTTCTAAATAATTTATTAAAAAACAAATTATAACTAATCATAAATATAATTAAATTATCTTTTTATTAATTGATTATTAAAAACAAATATTTTTTACACAATTTAAAACATCATTACAAACAAATGCTATTAAATCTCGCGAAATGTCAACTACCCAATGAAATTTCCTAATGTCTGTGTGAAATCATAAAATTTCAGATTCAAATTTTTCTCACAAAATCAAATATTGAATTTTTGAAATGAAATTAAGGAAGTGTTTGGGATTGCTTATAAAAACAACTTATTGACTTATTCTGGTGTGACACCGGTAATAATCACTTTTAAGTGTTTGGATAAACAACTTATACCGGTGCCAAACCGGTAATAAGAAGTTTTTGAAAAAGTTAAACATTTCTGACTTGTAATAAGTAAATAATGCTTTTGTAAAAATAAAAAATAAAAACATAACTTGTTTCAAATAAGCAATCCTAAACACCCTTTCAATTCCAAAACCCGTCAAATGATGGTTTGTATGCATTGTATTTATGAAATGTGGTAAGGGCCTAATTGATTGATTTGATAAAGTGTGTAAATTAATTATTTAATATGCAAATAATTTGTGAGGCTAAATAATTAATTACAAATTACGATAACCCTTTTAATTTTAATATAAAAGGTATATATATATATAGGGAAGGGTTCAAACGAGAACCCCTGTGATTTACGAGAACGCAAGAACAACCCAATAACCTCATATTGTGATAAAAAATAAAATTAAAAGATTTTTAAAATTAAGATTTAAATTTAAAAAGATTCAAAAAAATTTAAAATTAAAAGGGTAATAATGGAAATGATATCATCAAATCTTTTAAACACGATCATTATTTTTTAAACACTCATTATTATCATTATCTAGTAAAACGATTACGAAATAGGTTAGGATTATACTAGGTGTGATAATCATGTGATATAGGTGTGATAATCATGTGATATAGGTTTGATAATCATGTGATAGGGGTGTGATAATCACCATTATACATCACTTGGGTTATCGTTTTAGTTAATAAGTTAAAATTTTGGTGTAATCATATGATAAGGGTATGATAATCATGTGATATGAGTGTGATAGGGGCGTGATAATCACCATTATACATTACTTGGGTTAACGTTTTGGTTGATAAGTTAAAATTTTGGTGTCATCATGTGATTTGGGTGTGATAATCATGTGATAAGGGTGTGATAATCACTGTTATACATCACTTGGGTTATCGTTTTGGTTGACAA